TAACTATTAATCTAATGGGTTAATAATTTATTAGGAAGATACATGTTTCTAACAGTGTAATTAAATCTTATTCCTATAAAAAAGTGAAAGATTGAGCCAGCGCCAGCTGGACCCACTTCCTGATCCTACTTACGCTCTGGGAAAGCAGTGGAAGACTGATCTATGCCTTGGGTCCCTGCACCCACATGGGAAACTCATTTACTCCTGACTCCTGGCTTCAGATCAGCCCAGCTCCACCTCTTCGCAGCCAGTTGGGGAGTAAAGCAGTGGATGGAAGATCTTGCCCCCTCCCTCTAATTATACCCATCAAAGAAAAAAATAAATATTTTTTAAAATGGTGAAAAGTTAGGAAAGTTTAATAACAAAACTGCACACTACGAAGAAATGTAAGGTATGAGATAACAAATACATTCACTAGCCTAATTTGGTCATTCCACAACACATACAAGTATCAGAATATCACACTGAACCCCAGAAATACATAATTACAAGTCAAAAAAAAATCAAATAAAACTTCTTGAAAAGAAACTTTTGCCAAATTTCTTGAACCAAAGTTCTTATTAATATTGAATTTAATAATATATACAGAATCTGAGAAACTTAGTTCAATTTTATTTAAAAGTTTAAAATTTATTTAAAAATTTATTTTAAAATTGAGTAACTCAGTTCCATTTTATTTAAAGGAATTCAATTACTAGCGTTTCAGACAAATATACAAAAGACTAACAAGCAAAGATATATTCCATTAGCATTCTTTTCATCAACTAGAACTCTATCTGAATTAGTCCTTCTATTTACCACAGGTGTTAAAACTTTCATGCTGTTTAGTGACAACTTTCAGAACATTACATTAAGCACTGTGTTGGCACCTTAATGATGATCTACTGTGATGGGGACTACAAGGAGCGCTGAGCTTAGCAAGAAAGCAAACACAGAGGACAACTTCCGAAACAGATCTTCATCAATGTCAGAGTTATCCTCAGTCAGGGGTGTAAATAATGTTGAGAACAAAGCAATCAGGGCAGCAAAATGGCAGGCATTCTGCTTAAATTTTAATCTCTAAAGACAATCTTAATACTTGAAAGTAACTCGTCTCCTTGGGAGAATGCTAGGAAATCAAGTCCTTATTCAGAAACACTGACACAGAAGTCCAACATTTATGCTACCAGCCTTCACTTCTGGAACAATCGTCGTCAAATAATTCATGGAGAGACACATCTCTATGAGCTCAACTAATAAAGAAATGTGAGAAGAGCATTACAGTTGTTGCAAAATCCTAATAAAGTCATGCACATGAAGGAACACTGATGGCCCCTACACTTAGGAATTACTGTCACTTTCCCAAAATCAAATAGAACCTGAATCAATGAACTCTAGATCTCCCAGTACAGAGGCACCATGGGAAGAAAGGAACAAATAAAAGCAAGGAAATTCAATAAACAAAATCTAGATCGCAGAAAAACCCAGGGCTTCTTTAATAAATAAATAGCAAAGAATGGCACAGTACAATGAAGGGGAAGCCACAGATTAAAGGACTAACAAACATTTTCAACAAAATACTATATACACTACTTAAATACTGACTCAAACAATGGAAAGATACTAACACCAGCAGGAAAGCTTGCACTGTTGACATACATATCTGATAAATTGTGCTATGATTTTTTTAAAGATTTATTTATTTTAATTGGTAAGTCAGATACACAGAGAGGAGGAGAGACAGAGGAAGATGTTCTGTTCCATGATTCACTCCCCAAGTGACTGCAACAGCCAGAGCTGAGCCAGTCTGAAGCTAGAAGTTAGGAGCCTCTTCCAGGTCTCCCACATGGGCGCAGGGTCCCAAGGCTTTGGGCCGTCCTCGACTGCTTTTCCAGGCCACAAGCAGGGAGCTGGACGGGAAGTGGAGCTGCCGGGATTAGAAGTCGTCCATATGGGATCCCAATGCGTTCAAGGCAAGGACTTCAGCCTCTAGGCCATCGCACTGGGACAAAATTGAGCTATGATTGTTTTTAACGCTTATTTTCTAGATGTATTTTTAAATACTTATGGGTAATATCCTAAGTTGACTGAGATGCGCTTAAGATAATTTGGAGTGGGAGGCTAGGGAAAAGGAAGTTTATAAGATGAAACAGGATTGAATATGAACTGGTAATTGTTTTCTTTTTAAAGATTTATTTATTTTTATTAGAAAGGCAGATATACAGGGAGAAGGAGAGACAGAATGGAAGGTCTTCTGTCTGATGATTCACTCCCCAAGTGACCACAACACCCGGTGCTGTGCCAATCCGAAGCCACGAACCTCCTCCACGTCTCCCACGCGGGTGCAGGGTCCCAAGGCTTTGAAGTGTCCTCAACTGCTTTCCCAGGCCACAAGCAGGGAGCTGGATGGGAAGTGGAACTGTCGGGATTAGAACCTGCACCCATATGGGATCCCAGCACATTCAGGGCAAGTCAGCCCCTAGGCCATGCTGCCGGGCCCAGAACTGGTAATTGTTAAAAATGCATAACAGATACAAAACAGCGGACTATAACTTCTTTCCTACTTTAGGCATGTTTGAAATTTCCATAATAAAAGTTTACTGAGAAGGGTCCAGTGAAGTAGCCTAATAGCTGAAGTCCTCGCCTTGCACTTATTGGGATCCCATAAGGGCACCAGTTCGTATCCCAGCTGCCCCACTTTCCTTTCAGCTCCCTGCTTGTGGCTTGGAAAAGCGCTCGAGGACAGCCCAAAGTCTTAGGACCCTGCACCTGCAAAGGGGATCTGGAAGAAGCTCCTAGCTCCTAGCTTCAGATCAGCTCAGCTCCAGCCATTCTGACCACTTGGGGAATAAGCCAGTGGATGAAGATCTTTCTATCTCTCCTTCTTTCTATAAATCTGATTTTCCATAAAAATGAGCAAATAAATAAATCTTTACAAGTTTACAGAGGAAAGAAAAGTTTAAAGCATCCTATAAAACAATCCACAGAAAAAATTTTTTTACAAATTACTTGTCAAAACAAACAATTTAAATGATGATTAAAAGAGCATTCTCCCCATACACATCCTCACTCAAAAAGAAGAAAACTAGAAACCCAGAGGTTAGCTCTTACTCAAGATAACGAAACAGCGAGACCCAAAACTAGACTACAACACAGAACTCTACTCCTCAAAGAGATCTAAGAAGCTCTTCGAACTAAACCTATCAAAAACATCTTTCTAAGAACTGAAGAGTCCAGAAATCTCCGAAAAGTCCATTAGAAGATTTTTTTTTAAAGTCTAAAATGTTTACCAGGTAAAGGGGGAAAAGGCAGGCAAGCAGGGCTTAAATTTGAACCTTTAAATCTGTAATATTGATGGGCTTAAGAATTCACTCCATGAAGTGTAATCTGGTCATTATCTGATTCAACAGGTTGGCAATAGAAGATTGTGCACCCATGAACCTACGAAGCATAAGATCATGTTGTGAAACAGCTAGTCTTTAAAAATAACTGAAAAAAAGTTAACCTTGCTACCCACACAAATTGTTTGCACCTTAAATAAAAACAGGATTTATCTTCCACTTATAGATAAGCTTCAGAATTTGACCATGAAGGTCCTTCACTGCCGAGGACAGACATTTCAAGAGTAAGCATTAACATCTATATTAAGTCATTAAGGATACAATGTTGTGTACGTCCGTGAACTATACCACCCTTTAAGCGAGTACCGCCTCACTTAAATAAAATATTAACTCTCCCTTGAAATACAATTAATTAATAAGACAATGTAACCCCATTTATCTTTTATTATTCTAAAAATAGAGGTAGTAAATTTAATGTATTTTTTTATTATTGTTAACCTATCGGGCATTTATGTTACATATACATTTGACTTTTGGCAAAGATGTCAGTGACTATTGTGAAAAGTGCCTGATGAATTTGACTGCTGCTCCTTTATTGGAAGAGATGTTTATTTTGAAAAGTAATTCCGGCGTTAAATTACACAAAACTCGAGTTTAAGTTAAAATCCCATATTAAACATTCCAACACTTACATCCGTTTGTAATTATAATAAATATCAAACCAGGATACCACATTAAATTCCAGTGTGAACTCTCAAATTTAGAATTACATATGAATGATATCACTGTTTGAAAAATAACTTGCTTTTCAGAGAGCTTAAGTATCAAAGAGAAAAATGGAAGAGATGACACAGCAACCAGAGCCTGCTGATTGAAAACTTCACCTACAGAGTTTGCGCAGCTGACCCTCATCACTCCTCAGGGCAGTAAAACACCTCCTCATTTGCAAGAGGTGTTTAAGTGGTGTCCTCCTCAGAAACCTAAAGTCAAAGCCACCGTGGAAACAGTCCCAAAGACAAGGAAGGAAAAGGGGGAAAAAAAAGCCACACTGGATGGAACCGTGGACTTGAGTCAGAAGGCAATCCTGAGTGCAGGCTCAGCCCCACCCCTCCCTCGCAGCAATCTCCACATCAGTTTTCTGCTGAAACTGATCCGAAGCAGGAGAATTTAACACCTGCCTGCTGAAGTGTGGTGAGGATCAAATAAGGCAACGGTCCCCAAGTGCTAACCAAGTAGCCATCACACACGGTATCTCCAGCAATTATCTTTTTATACCGTTTTAAAGGTTAACCATGAGAAAAATACCTAGTGCCCTTCCCACAGAAACGGCTAGCCTACACCTTCTATGAAAGAAAAAGAAAGGCATAAACAAAAACAAAAATATTCTAAATTTTCCCTTATGAGCATAATTTTACTTACATAATTCTGAAATCACGGAAGCGTAAACATCAAACAACAGCAACAACAACAACAAAAAAACCACTCTATGGTGTTTAATAGTATGCCAATATTTATGTGCATGCTCGAATCTGAAAAGCCGAACAGAATCCCTTATCCGTATTTTTAAGGCCGTGTTTATTAATATAAACAAATACACTGTTCAGTAAATAACAGCAAGGCTGGTTACAAACTTCATAAAAACTATTTTTTAAACATGCAAATAAAAAGGAAGGCATTTACCTTTGTGCAATAAAGCATCCAAAGTTCAAACAGCCTCTCTCTAGATGCCATTCTGATTTTCACTTGGGCACTTTTATTTTTCCGTTAAAAAAAAATGCTCAATACCACAGCATGTTCATTTTATTTTTGAAGTTTTCCTCCACCACAGCAAAGCTCAAAGCAGTTGGGGGGGAAAAAAGAGGAAAAAGCTGACTGTCTTCTGGCCAGGATGCGAGTCTCCAGTTGTTAACTCGGTGGAGGTGGGATTTAAACAAACCTGTAAAAGAAATACCCAAAGCTCCATCACAAAAGGGACCACACTGAACGATCTAGACATTTGAGAAGTTTATCAGGTTCCTCTGCTAAAAACAATCGGCTGAACTTTTCCACCGATTGCTTCGACTTCACAGAAACTTCTGTGTTTCAAGAAAACCTGAAACACAGCTTGTCACCACAATGTAAAAGCAGAGAACCCTCCAGGGTTAGACTCACAAAGATAAGTATTGATAGATAACCCAACACTGCTTTGAGGCTTTAAAAAGATTGCCCTGCCACTCAAAAATCCTCCACAGAGGTAAAGACTAGGAGTATTATTCGAAGGCAATAGGTCAAATACACAAAACCTCTTAGAATTTTCTAGTCAGCTTCTTAAAAGTTGTGGGGAATGTTTGCTGGTTGCAGGGCAGGGCTCGGCGCGGGGCGGGCCGGAGGGGGGCAGGGAGGAAGAATTCCTGGTTTGTTTGTCTTAACAATCCTCAGGGTGAAAGTCAACCTGCCCACCTGGGCCTCTCTACCGGGAGTAAGAGTGGGGCACGCGCTCCCCGGCGGGGAAAGCATCCCGAGAAAGCCCCCCCACCCAGGGTTTTCGGGAATCATTAAATTTCCTCTTGCCATCCTGGGGAAGGCAGTCCAACTTAAAGGTGTGCCAAGCTGTCAAGAAAAAAGCTTTAGAGCTGGGGGCGACGCGAGCCGAGCGACTCCGGAACCGCAATCCACGCCAGCGCGACGGCACGGGACACGCCCGGGACAGCCTCGCCCCCTCACAGCCGCCCCTCACTCCACAGCCTCCGTAACCCGGCACCCACCTCCCCGTGGGTCGCCGCGCGGCCCCCCTTTCCCCGCCGTCCCGCTTCCCCTCACCGCGCTCCCTGCGGGGTGCCCACCGCCGAGCCCTCGCAGCCGCCTAAACTTGCATCGGTCGCCCCCTTTTTCCCCAAGGCGAAGCCCCGTGTCACCTCACTGCTAGGGAGGCGGGGGCCTGAGGGAGGCGGGGCGGCGACGGCGCCCGGTGGGCGTGGCCAGGGGGCGGGGCGGGCCCCTCGGCTAATCATTCCGGTGGCTGAGGTTTCGCCCGGCCCTCGGGCGCCGGCCCTTCAATGGTCGCGCCGACAGGGGACGGGGCGGGGCGTCACGGAGCCCCGCCCCACATACCCGCGCAGCCGCAGTCCGCCAGACTCCGGGAGACTGGCGAGAGGGTCAGCCTGGTCCCAGCTGTGCGTGTAGGCGGGCCGGCGTGGTGACGTAAACGCCCCGTCCCTGTACGGACGGACCGAGGGAGCTCTAGGCTGCTGGCGTCATTTCCGGGAATCTTCCGGGACTGGAACCCTACTGGGGTTTCTGTAGAGAATGTGGTTGAGTTTGAAGTTTGTAGTAATGTAAAAGGACAACAGACTCAATCCCCAGGGGAAAAAACCTCCTTTTCACTAATCATGCTTGTGACCCATCGTTTTGCCGTCCCGGAGTGTCAAACCCAAAGGATTTGTTTTACAACCACGAAAACCTCCATTAGGGTTTTCTGTGAAGACGGAGTTCGGGGGCGGAGTGGGGTATGAGAAGTACGTGGCTGCATTCACTAGCTATAAAAGACTTGCAGGTTTTAGTTTTGTTTAAGGGAGGAAAAACACTGAAGTTTAATAACCTTTGTTAAATCTGAGCATTTTTTTAAGTAGGGTAATTGTGAAAATGTGTAAGCATATCCAAGAGCAGGCTTCAGCCCCAGCCAGCAGACATTAAAAGCATCTGCAGAGCATATCGGTAGATGACAGATTTCTGCTGTCACTCCCTGTATCTGTTTTACTGCTCCCCCCTCTGCTTCTCAAGCTTTTAAGTGATTATAATAAAAAAAGAGTAATAGTCTGTTGCAGGTGAAATTCAAGTTGCAGTGCTCACAATTGCATCACAACACAGTGATGTCTGTGCCTTTACTATGATCAATAGTCCTTTCGCCCTACCATGGCAGGAATGGAAGGGATTACTTACAAGTTCGTCCTTCAGTTTTTGCATGGGGAAGCTACATCTTACATTCAGCATTTCTCCTGGATGGTTTAGCAAAAGTGTGAAACTTAACATGTCAAAGCTTCCAGGGCTAAAGTTCTCTTCCAGTGAGCTTTTTCCATTTTAATCTTTAGCAACTTCCTTGGTTAAGTTGCTCAGCCCAAGAACCTAAAAGGTATACCTGCCATCTCTCACATATATTTCACATCCAACTAATGCTTTCACCTCTATCTTCAAAATATATTTCTAATCTGAGCCCAATGCAATAGCCTAGTGTCTAAGGTCTTGCACACACCGGGATCCCATATAGGCACCACTTCATGACCTAGAGGCCCAACTCCGATCCAGCTCCCTGCTTGAGGCCTGGGAAAACAGTGGAGAATGGGCCAAAACCTTGGGCCCCTGTACCCACATGGGAGACCCAGAAGAGGCTCCTGGCTCCTGTCTTCAGATTGGTTCAGCTCTGGCCATTGCAGCCACTTGGGGAGTGATCAGCAGATGGAAGTTTTTTTTTTTTAAGATTTATTTATTTTTATTGAAAAGGCAGATATACAGAGAGGAGGCGAGACAGAGAGGAAGATCTTCCATCTGATGGTTCACTCCCCAAGTGACCGCAATGGCTGAAGCTGAGCCAATCCTTAGCGAGGAGCTCTTCTGGGTCTCCCAAGTGGGTGCAGGGTCCCAAGGCTTTGGGCTGTCCTCGACCGCTTTCTCAGGCCACAAGCAGGGAGCTGGATGGGAAGCAGGGCTGCTGGGATTAGAACCAGCGCCCATATGGGATCCCAGCGTGTGAAAGATGAAGACTTAAACCACTACACTATCACACCAGGCCCCAGCAGATTGAAGATTTTCATCTCTATCTCTCCTCCTCTCTTTATATCTGACTTTCCAATTAAAATAAATAAAATTGTATATATTTTTAATTTTATATACATATTTTTTTCTAACCCACAAATTTCTGCATATTACCATCACCTCTACTTGCCCTGGTATGAGTTGCCACAGAATTTTCTCTGGATTATTCTAATAGACTTTCAATCTGTCTCCCTGTCTCTGCCTACATGCTCCCCCACCCACAGACTATTCTTAATATAGCAGAGTGATCTTTTAACATTTTGCTTTTAAAAATTCACTTCAATGCCTAAAACCCCTCAGTAGCTTCCCTGCCTTCATGGAGCCCACAAGGCGTTTTTGTTCCACACTTCCCTCAGCCTTCTGTTACTAGGCAGGTCTGGTTTTACCACCGGGCAGACTTTTGCGTGCTCCTTGCTGCTTCTTAAATGCCCAAAACACAATCCAGGCTCAGAGATTTTTCACATACATTCCCTGTGGTTGGAATGCTTTTTACTCTGGCTATCCACATCAATCTCCAGTCTCTACGCCAAAATGTCCTGATGTGTGACTGTAAAGCAGTCCCTAACTTTTCTTCATGAAACAGGAACCTCTCTTCCTCATTTTCTTCTCCACCTGTAGGACCTACCAGTTGACGGAGAATTTGTCTAGTTGGTGCATATTCTCTCATAGTATTTTGTAAGCATTGTGAACATCTTTCTTCACTGCTATTTTTAGATTCCTGAACAGTTTCTTTTATATACAATAGGAGCTCAAAACTATTTGCAACAAAATGGTTCCAACTAGAGACCATTATGCTCAGTGAAATAAGCCAATCCTAAAAGGAAAAATATCATATGTTCCTCTGATATAAGGCTACCCTCATGCAAAATACAAGATCATTATAGGCAAGTATACAATGAAGTGGAAATACATTGCAGTATGCGTCTCTACTTCTGAACAAAAGATGTACCGCCAATGAAGCTGTTAAGCACATTTTTACACTAGATTGCTGGACTTTATACCATTGTTTATACCTACAATGTCAGAATAGCAGAATGATGGAGTTGTGACTGTTGTTGAGAAACTGAGCTATTGTTATAATGTGGGGGGGAAAAGTGGGGACTAAAAAAGAACTAAAAAAGAAAAAAAAAACTATTTGCTGACTATCTGAACAAAATCACCCTGTTTCATTCTAGCATTATAAAACAATTATAAGACATTAATTGATTTGTAAATCAAAGCAAAAATCACTAGGACAAATTGTACACAAAGGGTGACAAAATTGGACACATTGGTTCTCAAATTTTCAATTCTGTAATAACCATCAAGGCTCATGTTAAAATGCTAATTTTGGTCCAGTGGGACTAGAATGAGTGGGTCAGCAGGTATCAAGCTTCCAAATGATACCAGTGCTGTTGATTACAGTCCACACACTGAGTGTCAAGATCTCTAAGTTAACAGGTGAGTGTTGCCTCATTTTGGAGTAGTATTCTGGACTAATATTGGTAGATTTGCATGGACCCATCCAGCTATTCACATTTTTCCCTTATGATTAGTGAGAACAATACTACAGAAATGTAAAACTAATTATTCTGTGTAGACAGTGAATCCCCAAGCATGCATTATTATAGTATGTGCACCACGTACAAGGCATCAATCACAAGACCTTGCTATATAACTTTAAGATGGCATTCTTCGACAATCGTTAGTTTCATAACTCACCCAATCCTGTTTCCTTTAGCCCCAATCCAAAGTCCTATCTATATGTTATTCCTATCCAGTATTCCCAATATCCTCCCAGGAAAAGAGGGTGTGAGCCCATGCCCTTACTGAAATCTTCTAGGTTCTGTAGCATTTAGGTAGTAGCAAAGTGTCAGGTAGATCCCAACAATCTACCTCTTGTGATGTTTCTGATGACATGGAGGTGCTGGAAAGGACAAGTTTGGCTGCATGAGTAGGCCCTTCAGCAACCTTTAGGCATGTCTTCACTAATGGGGCTGCAGCTACTTTTTCTCCTATAGTACCTCAAGATAATCACATTTATAATCCTTAGAACATTAAAAAAATTTTTTATTTATGTATCTTTTATTTGCAAGGCAAATTTACACAGAGAAGGAGAGACAGAGAGATTACCCATCCACTAGTTCACTTCCCTAAATGACCACAATGGCCAGAGCACAGCCAAAACAAATTTAGCAGCCAGGAGCTTCCTCCAAGTCTCCCGCATGGATGCAGGAACTCAAGGAACTGGGCCAACTCTGCTGCCTTCCCAGACCATAAGAAGGGAGCAGGGTCAGAAGTGGAGTAGCCCCGACACAAACCAGCACTCCTGCAGTTTGCTGGTGCTGCAGATGGAGAATTAGCTTGCATACCACTGCAATGAATCCAGAACACATTTTCTTAATAAGACTTTTACCCATCAGCTTCTAAAAACAATCTGACTACTTATGTTAAAAGCATATTTCTGGCCTGTTTTTCATGACAAAACTCCTCTACATTTTTAAGAATTTTTAAAAGATTTATTTGTTTTTATTGAAAATGCAAATTTACAGAGAAAAGGAGAAACAGAAAAACCTTCCATCTACTAGTTCACTCCCCAAGTGATCCCAATGGCCAGAACTGAACCAATCTGAAGCCAGGAGCTTTCTCTGGGTCCCCCACTTGGATGCAGGGTCCCAAGGCTTTGGGACATTCTCTAGTGCTTTCCCAGGCCACAAACAGGGAGCTGAATAGGAAGTGAACATCTGGGATATGACCAGCACCCTTATGGGATCCTGGCACATACAAGGTGAGGATTTAACCACTACACTACCGTGCCAGGTCCTCCAAATTCACTCACGTGGTCCTGCCTATATTCACTAGGTGTTCCTGTGTTCACATATTCTAGCTGGAATTTCATTTCACCTCACCAGGCAACTCATCTTTGAAAGCTATTAAATTAACAATGAAAAATACACCTAATGTAATGGAACCATTCATATTTATTGCTTATAGCAGCATACCCCATAGAAAAAATTAAATTAGGATATAAAATTACAATCTCAGAATTGCTTGTTCATCATGAGTCAGGACAAGCAAAATTAATTGGACTATTTTCAGTGCTTAGTGTCATCCTTTATAATAGCCTGTATGCAATCTGCCA